CGCTTCATGCATGCCACAACTGAGCAATGTTTGGGCTGTTTGTAATACACTGATTTGTTTTTCTGTTTAAGTAAGTAAGTAAACTTAGCACAAACATTTTCCTTCAAATGGGAAATAACACCAATAAAGAAAGGCTGGAGTTGCCAGGTTGCTCACCCATGCACTGAAACATCCCTGAGCCTGTTTCACAGAGCTCCTACGACACCACACCATAAGTGCCTAGATAGGCAAATATGGTACTTCAGCTAGGTGAATATGTGGCCTGAGCACTGGTCAGAAACACACGGACTCTGCATACTCCATAGCTGCTAGTGCGGATCTCATTTGTGGACTTAACAAAATCTTTAAAGTTATGGCCCTCCAAAGTGGCTTTCCAGTAAAAAGAAAGCCAAAATCTTCTGCTCTCCTTTCTCTCCTTTGCTTCTTTACTCACTCCTCACTAGGGCTTTTATTTTTTCTTTAACATGTTTATAAATAGTAATTTTATTAACATTTATTATTTACTTATAGTCTGGTCATTAATTATCATTAAACATTCACAGCTAGTATGTGTCTGGCTGCCTTCAGTGAGGTGATTACACATAAAATATCAAAATTGAAACCTGGCTTTTGCAGTGGGGAATTATTTTTGAAAAGATGTGGCAAAAAAAAAGCTCATGATCTGATGTGAGAGGGAGAAGTTGTCAGACTCCAGTCCTAGGCTTGAATTAGAAATTGTAGAATCATAGAATCATAGAATCGTTAGGGTTGGAAAGGACCTTAAGATCATCAAGTTCCAACCCTCCTGCCGTGGGCAGGGACACCTAACGCTAAATCATATCACCCAAGGCCTCGTCCAACCTGGCCTTGAACACTGCCAGGGATGGAGCATTCACAACCTCCCTGGGCAACCCATTCCAGTGCCTCACCACCCTAACAGGAAAGAATTTCCTTCTTATATCCAACCTAAACTTCCCCTGTTTAAGTTTTAACCCGTTACCCCTTGTCCTGTCACTACAGTCTCTAATGAAGAGTCCCTCTCCAAATGTTAACATTAATTCAAAGACTACTATGTAGTGACATATACATTAAGTGTGACAGAGCTGTATCATGTCCCTGAAAAATAGTTAACAGAGGAGCTTGAACTCCTCTTTCCCCACAGAGTGCTTTTCCTGGTATATCCAAACCAATATGCGTCATGCACCTCAGTTCAAGCCTTCCTCTGTTAGCATAGAGTTTTCTACAGCTTCCTTTCAAACTTTTCCTTGTTACCAGTTTCATCTTTCCAAAGGGACACTGTGACCTGCTTTGTCCTGCGGACAAGAGTTAATACAGTGCCAAATGTAAGCCAGACTATGCACTAGCTGTAGGCTGGCTTCTCACATCTGATGTTCGGGTTAGAAGCACCTGAAAGGCCCTCTGTGCAACAGACAATATTTCTAGACAAGAGAGCATTTTTATTAAAGAGAAGTGTCAAGAGAGTAGAAACACCTTTCTAAATCCACTCACCTCAGGTTATGTTGGCAATTTTTTGAGTCGGTGACCTTGAAGGAAAAGAACCCAGAATTCAAAAAGCAATTTACAGCTGAAATCTGAGCTTCTACATAAGAGGGGTAAACTGCAGGGAGAACATTTCCTCTCCAGGCACCACACCATTAAAGACACATTTCTCTTTTGCAGTTCTGCAGTAAATACTCTGATAATAGTATTTCTGTTTATCCTGCCTGCCTGTTCTGTGCACCTTTCTCTGGCTGACCCTTGCACATGGCCCTAGTTGTTTCCCCATCATTATCCTGCAGTGAAGTATGAAAGTGCAGTTGATCTTGGTGCTGAAAATACAGCCAGACTGCTTAGTAAAGAAACAAAACTTTAAAACAATTTAAAAGGATTTATGGACTCACATCTGTGATCTCTGTCTCCCAAGGATGTATGTACTGACCTCACCAGTCATTGAAGCCCTCCTCAGTGGAGGAGACTACATGCTCCATTTGGAGGGAGGGGTGGAGAGATGCTTTCCATGCACTGTAAGCATCATCTGTCCCGGGATTTCTGTGAATTTTAGAAATGAGAGAATATAGCACAGAAAAGGGAAGTGTGAGCATTGCTGTCTCCTTGAGAGCATGATTACCTTCAAACTTACACTCTGAAATAAAACCCGTTACACCCATAGAAAAAAATGCAGCCATGACCAGAGCTTGGACTGTATGTTGTGTGCACCTGAGCTGAAGATTCTCCCAGCACAGCCCTGTTTCTTTACTGGTTGTTGTTGAATCAGCTGATATCATAAGCCCAGTGTGAGTATCAGAGGAGCTGAGATCAGCCCTATGCATCTGCCCAAATTAATTTGTTTCTATTCAGCTCAATACTTCTCAGCACAAGTCATCCTCTGCTGTTACTCCTTACTGAGCCACCACACAACCACACATAAAAACTTCACTCCCTGCAGCAGTGCTTGCATTCCCACAGTTCCCACAGAGCTCTGGTTTCAGCAAGGAGAAGCGAATGGCCCTGGAGGATTTTGTTTTTCATTGTTATGGTTTATTCTAATTTAAACAAACTCAACAATACGCTGTGCTTTGCAGTGGAAGAAGTCTCACACACCCTTTTAAAGAAATGGCAGCAATTACTTCCAAAGTCCTTTTTCATAATATTTACAAAGTAGTCGATCCAGACAGTAAAGGCACAACTCCTGTATGTCAAAAATCAAGAGAGAGACTTTCTCACACAGCTCTTGAGTGAACAAACGTGCACAGAGTCCTTAAGTTCCAGGCAACTCCTGCTATATCCATGGGGCAAGCAAAGGCTGTAACCACTCTCCTTCCAACAGAGCTCCATGTTATGTTTGAGTCCGCGGCTCACAGGTGAGAAGGGTGCCCTCATGGCAAATCAGGTAACATCTGCTTTATCTTCCTTTACCACAATATAAGGTCAATGTTTTGCGTATGGAAACAGAATTGTTCATGCTCATTTTATTTACATCTGCCCATTAATTTTTGTACTATGCAGTCATTCTCAAGCCGGGCATGACCTCAGTCTTTCATTATTTAATGACTTTCCCTTTGTGGGACAACATACAGCTCTTCCATATAGCTCATCACTTTTGGAAAAGGACCAACTTCGTGAGTTCCTTAACTGTATGAGGAGGAGAAAAAGGAAGGGCGAGCCTTCTTTATTGCTTTTTAGGGACTGAACTGTAGACTTGCTTTCTTCAAGCTGGAGAAACTCCAAGTCATTTCTGCCGGCACTATTAACGATGCCTGACTGGCATGCTCTTGCAGATGTAAACAGTGGCACAGCAAATTGTTTAACCTTTCCCTGAAGCATAATTTCCTAGACAGCGAGGTGCTAACCTCTCCAAAGCAGCTGCAGAGGGTTAGGAGGGTACCATTTTTCCAGCTGAAACTGGACAGTTTGAAGTGACAATCTCGTATTTTCCCATTGCTACTTATCCCCACCAAAATGTTTCTACATATATGTAATGGGACACATGTCTCTTGGGGGCAGAAAGCTTTAGTGTGTGTTTCCAGTGAAACAGTTACTAAAAACCAGTCTGAAAGCATAATTTTGACACCAGCATTTAAACTTTAATTCCCTGTCAGACCTGGAGGTGAGCAAGGCCATTGGGCGAGACCAGCTGTAAACCCGGCAATGAAACCTGCCTGCTTCATCAGGTAGAGGCAGCTGATGAGGTCCAGGTTCAGCTCAGGCAGGCTGCTGCTGACAGCAGAGGAAAGGGCCCTGCAAGGCTGTCTGCTTTGCCCGCATGTGAGACATAGCCTGAGTGGCTCTGGGGCCATGGGAGGCCTGGGCAGGGTTGGGAGTGGTCAGACTCAGCAGCAGCAGCAGGCACTGCTCCCAGATCTCCCACCCCACCTCTTTGCCACCCAAGCACAGCTCTCTCCTTTCCCTTCCCTTCCTTCTGGTAGGAGCAGGCTGATATGGCCTGGCCTTGATGTTTTGTTCAGTTTTGAATCATAGAATCACAGAATCATTTGGGTTGAAAGGGACCTTAAGAATCATCCAGTTTCAACCCCCCTGCCACAGCCAGGGACATCTTCTGCTAGACTGGGCTGCTCAAAGCCCCATCCAACCTGGCCTTCAACACTGCCAGGGATGGGGCAGCCATGGCTTCTCTGGGTGCCCTGTGCCAGTGTCTCAAAGTCCTCACAGTGAAGATTTTTTTTCCTAATATCTAATCTAAATCTACTCTCTGTCAGTTTAAAGCCATTCCCCCTTTGCCTGACTCCAAAGCACCATCTTCAAAAGAGCTGGAGCTGAGGAGGACAGAGGGGCCTCCCCTGTGGTTCAGATCGTGGTAGGACTGACTGCAGACAGGCTCACGCAGGCAGGTCACTCAATCAAGGGGCTCAAGTTAGATTTGAACGCCCAAGTGAATCTGAATGCCCATTGCTCTCTCTGCCCAGTGAACGTTCTCTGTATGAATAATGGCCTACTGGACAAGGCTTGCAGAGATGGCCACCAGCAGTCCTTCCAGTCCAAAGGGCTGGGATGTGCCATGGGGCCCCACAAGGGAATGCTGACCATGTCAAGGTATGGTGACAAGCTCACCTAAACCTCCTCCATAGGAGTCCAACACCACTTGAAGGTGAACCCACTTGAAGGTGAACCCTGTGCCCCATTTGCCCAGGGTCTGTGGGCTGCCCTGCGCCCCAGGACCCTGGGGGGAGGGCACAGTACCCTGCATGCCCCGTTCTCAGCATGCCAGTGGGAAAACCAGGCTCGGGGGCAGTCGCCGGCCAGCTCGGTCAGCGGGCGGGGAGCGGGGTCTGCCCCTCGGGTACCACTCTCATGGCGGTTGGACGCCATGTGGGGCCGGCGGCTGTCCCTCCGCCGGCGCGCAGCGCCGCTCCTCCTCGGCCGGGGCACTACAGCGGGGCCGGGGCTGGGGTCGTGCGGTTGGGGGTGGAGGGGAGCGGCGCCTCGGCCGGAGGGGGTGCGGAGTCGCCGTGGAGGGCGGAAACGGGGTGGGGGGGATTTGCGTCAGTGAGGGAGCTGGGAGCGGGCGAGGGCGGGCGGGACGGACGGAGGGACGGAGCCAGCGGACAGGCACCCGCAGACCCCACTCGCCCGCTGCCGCTGCCTGTCGCCCCATGGAGCTGTGCCCGGGGCCCGCGGCGCCCTCGGGCTGGGCGCTGCCGCTCCTCCTCGCCCTGGGCGCCGGGCTCAGCCACGCCACGCCGCACCTGCGGTACACCCGGCCGGGCTCCCGCAGCAAGTGAGTACCGCCTGCCCCGGGAGGGCCTGCGGGAACCTCTGCCGGCGGCGGGGCGAGCCGAGGCGGGTTGGGGCAGCCGGAGTGCCGCGGCGGGCGGGCTGGGGCGGCGTGTGGTTGCCCTCACGCCGCCGCCCGACCGTGACGGCCGTTGTCTTTTCGCCCCAGGAACTGGTGCGCCTACATAGTGAACAAGAACGTGAGCTGCTCGGTGCTGGACGGGACGGAGAGCTACGTCCAGGCCCAATACAAGTGTGCCTGGAATCAGTTCCCCTGCCAGCCCACCCTGGTGTAAGTAGCCGAGAAGGCGACCTCGGGCGGGAAAGCGCTTGGCCATCCGCTGCCAAGCCCCGGAGGGGAGGTGATAGCTGCCGCTGCTTTTGGACTGTTCCCGGCACCCCAAAAAGCACCCGACCGAGGCGGGAGCGCATGTACCGCCTCCTGATCCCAGCACGCCCCAGACAAAGCGCTGGGTTTCATTGTGAACATAAGGCTGCCGGAGCTAATTAGAGCCAGGTTGAGCGCGTTGTTGGTCCGCGCAGGCAGTGCGCTGCGCGCAGCCGAAGGGGAGCAGCGCTGTCACAGCACCCTGCTGGGCGTCGTGGTGGGGTTGCAGGGTGGTAAACGCGCAGGCTGCCTTCCGTAGGCGGTGGGAGCGACAGCACCTGCTGGGGGCACACCTATGCACCCTGCTCCGGGTTTGGCAGGGTACGGCGGCGCTCAAACCCGGTTTTATAGTTGCTCTGCGTTGCTGGATCGGTGCGTAACAGCAAGGGAGAGCCAGGAATGCGAGCCAGCACATTTACAATCTGTGTACCCCTGTCAGTTGTCCAGCAAGGAGAGCGGCCACCGCAGAGATTTTTACAGGGGGTTATACAAAGTTACTGGTTTGATTTTAAGCTTCATGCTGTTCAGTGTGACCGTATGGCAGTCTGTAGAGTGACCACCTAGTGTGCTGTGTGAGCCCTGCAGGTACAGCAGGAGTCAGGGAATCGCTATATCTTGCTGTATCTTAAGATTAATCTCAGGTAAATCCCCTTTCCTCAGTTTCTCACTTGAAGAGCAGTAATATTTACATGCTTCTGTTTGAAAGCTGTAAGTGATAAGCACGCTCTGAAACCATTTCACTCAGAAGTTATTGGAAGGACACCCGTAGGTTTTTGTTGGTTAGGCTTGGAGTTGGGCTGAGGTGATGGTGAGGATTCTTTTACAACAAAGAATAACTAGCTTTTATTTTGACATGAAATGGTGAGGATGAGACTGATATTGCTAGGTCCTGGGTGCTACTGAAACAAGACTACAGGCATCAATGACACTGGGGCCTGTGACAATAGGTGTCAGGCATTTGGCATTCAAATGCGCTGCTCTCTGTTTGGGTTGTTATTTTTGTTAAAAACACAACTTTTTCTCTATTGAAATATATAAACACTGGAATTTGAGGGAAATAACAAAGGCAGCAGACAGCTGACTAACACGGTCTTGTGTAATTTCCCTTGTTTCTCTTTGGAGTGTTGAGCTGGCCATTTTGGACTTCTGACTGAGCTTATGGGCTGTGTAATGGGGTGTGCCCTCTGTCGTGCGGAGTCTCATGAAGGAGTGAGGAGTGGTTGAAACTGAGCTCTTTGAACACATAAATCACCAAGCATTAAGATAAGGAATCTCAGAGGCAATAAATTAGGATTTTCCTGGACTATCTGCTAGTAGATAATAAAGAAAGTGCAAAGGCATTGCTTCTAGCCCAGGAAATGCCTGATCAGAGAACTGCTTGAGCGGGTGAGACCTTTGGCATGAGCCAGATGGGGAAACCCAGCTTCAGCAGGGGCCTGGACTGGATGACCTCCAGAAGTCCCATCCCTTCCAGATGACTCTGTGGTTCTGTGAAATGGCATTGTCTGTCCTTGGTTTCTAAACATCTGGAGTTGGCTGCTGTCAGAGAGAGAATATGGGGCTGAACAGACATTTGGTCTCGCCTGCTGTGGCCAATCTCATGGGGGCTTTTTGTTCTTTTGAGAATGAAATTAGATATTTGTCATAAGTCTTTGTTTCCTCAGTTTGACTTTCTTTGGTGAACACTGCTGTTACTTCTTTCTTCATAGCTGTAATGGCAATTGTAAAATCATTCCTTGTTCTTCACATAAAATATTGTAAGTACCTACCACAGCACCAGCTGATTAATACTGAAAGCAGATGGAATATTAAAATCTTTACATTGTATTGTGTCCAAAACTCTATGTATAGGCTGTGACTTGCATTTTTCTGTCTGTTGCTGGTATATACCTTTTCTTAGTAGCAGAGCAGGAAAGGAACTAGTCCAAAGCATTTGAAATACACTGTTCAAATCCTGTAAACCCCCATCTTTAGTCCTGTGAAAAGTATTTAATTCAGTAGGAATAGTGGTCTGAGTAACAAAATGTGCTTATATATATTTATTAGCTAATGTTGACAAAAATAGGACAGGAAAGAGATACAAAAGCAACAAAGAAATAACTGTGAGGACTCTGAAATTATTCTCTTTTTCCTTTATACACTTACATAGACAAGTTAAAAATGAACTAAATAGTAGATATTCATCAGAATAAACTGCGGTCCCTGTGTAGTCTTCTTTTGATACCCGTGGTTCATCTAAGGGCTCATTCTGCTGCACACAGTGGAGACAGTGAGACCCAAATACAGAAAGAGCTTTTTAACTGTATCAGAGATGTATTGGTTTTATTAGTACTTAAGTACTACTAGGGCTTTTTTTATCAGTCACTGGATTTATTGTTGATCTGATATATTTGAAGACTCAGTTTAAAGAGCCCTTCTGATGTTTAGGTTCAGTCTAGGTTATGCATGACAAATTACTTAAATTAAAAAGCTCACTGCATTTTATAGGGCAGCATTTTGCTGCCTTAAACATAGAGTTGTACTCTTGACTTCCACATGTTCTTCATATACAAGGGAGTGTATATTGCAGATATGGATTATAGTCAGCACTGATTTTATTGTTTTTAGAAATAGAAACCTCTGGTGATCAAGCCTAAAAATCATATGCATGCATGAACCCTTTTTACCTACCCTTAGGGGCCATTAAAATATCATTTGTCTGAAGTAAAGCCCCACTGTTGGAATGACTGCACTTTTAGGAGTGTTAACTGTAATTTCAGTTTGGCTACAGGGTATATTTCCTGAAATGTTAAGTTGAAATTCAGGAAATTATTACACTTCATTGTTCAGTTGTTTTATAAGTATGTGGGCTTGATCGTGCATTTCCTTGCTGAGAAGTTCGTGAATGCTTTGGCTGATTAAGGTGTCAAGGATAAATGTGAGTTGAAGTGTGGCTGCTTAAGAGATAGTAAGAGAGGGAGTAGAAAGAAAAAGCAGAAAGGCCCTTTGAAGTATGTTCCCTTTGAAGTGGGGGGGGCTCCTGATTTATTTTTCTTAAAACTGTGACTAGCAAAGGAGGGAGGAACTTTTATTAGTGGGTCATTGGACAGAAGGTTACCTACACAAAAATACTGGTTTTTTTTTCCCACTAAAAAGGACCTATATGTTTTGAAATTTGAAAGATTGCTTCATAAATAAGTGATCCCTGCCCACTTCTTTTGTTGTGAATTTCCTTTCTTAGTCTTCTTATGGATGATTTACTAACAAAATTAGCATTATTAGCAATTTGTAACTAATAGTGCTGTCTGATGGTAAAAGTAAAATGTATTGCTCTTCTGGCTAGTTTATACACACTCTTTAGGGTTGTGGCTTCTCTTGAACATCCTCTGGTCAATGCTTCAGGGCAGGGTACTGTTACACCAGTTGCTTGTTTTGCTTCTAGTACTGTAGAGCATGTTGGGACTCCTGGCTGTACTGTAGATGCTCCAGTTTATGGCCCAGCATTTTTGGGCAAAGCTGCTTTCACTAGTAGGGTTTTGATTGTAAAGTTTGAAGTGAACTGAAGTGAGTGAAGCAGAGGGATGTTTTCTGGGTTTCCATCTTTGCAACTGCAAACGGGGCTTCCCTGTATGAGGCAGTAAATCAAATAGGAAAAGATTTAGACTGGGAGGAATCTCTGGAGGTCATCTAGTCCCCCTGTAGCCCCCAGCTAGCAATGGAGCCAGCTTCAAAGTTAGATCAGGTTGCTCAGGGACTTGAAGAAAGGATGTTTTGTCAGATCCCCTAAGTCAAGTACCAGCCCCCATTAATTCTGCTCATGTGGGTAAAGATACCTGTGTGCTCAAGTGTGTAACAAGTCAGGTCACCTGTCCTTAGCTTGTGGGATGTGAATTCATGATATAGTGTGAGCTTCTCATGTTAACATTAATGACCAGTGTGTAATAAGTGCATGCTTAGAAAATGGTCAAGAAAATGATGACTGAATCAATAGCTAAATTAGCAAGCCTCTCCAAATCTCTCATCGAGCAATAATTTCCAACTTCTTGTCATTTAATACTTTCAGATGACCGTAAATAAGCCCACTGCCAAACTAATCACAGTTTTAATCACTGCCAAGAGGAAGATTTAAATAAGACTGAAATAACTTTAGAGGCTCTTACAGCTAGTTTTCTGCAATCATAAATACGAGGATAGATGGCTATACGTATGAGTAACACACCACTCTTAGTAAGCAGTATTCAATGTTTATTAATAAAATAATATTGAGTAAAAGTGGAAATTTTATTACCGCAAAAGAATGTATCAGACTTCCAGTTAAATGGCTGCATCGATTTACCATTTTCTGGCAACCCCAGAACAAGCTGGGTGGAGTACATCAGCCCCAGTCTAGGAACATACAGGAAATCCACATGTAGTTTTCAGCCTTTCAACACTCCCAAGGTAGTTTTGTCTGAGGCTACTCAGTTGCTAGAAATTAAGCGTACAGGCCAGTGTCAGAATGCTCAGCACTGGGTAGGGTCAAACCTGAGATACTCAAGTTAGCACAGACCAGAGCCTATGCTTGCCACTGGCTTCTAGCAGTGCATATCTCATAAGAAAAACTTTCAGGATGCACAAAAACTTGAAGGGAGAGTGAGGACTGTTTTAATGTTCCCCTCCAAATATCTAGAAAGATCTTCAGGATTTTTTTTATTCCCTTACTGTATTTTGTGTGAAGCAGAATTTCTTTGTATAGGCTCCAGCTAGCTAACTGCACAGGGAGGCTAGCCTAAGGGGTTGTGCATTGAAAACAGTGAGGGAACTTGAAAACCTTCAGAGTGTACTTCAGTTTCCTGGAGTGCTTGTTTGAAAAGATTGGAGCTCCTGCTGGGTGTGGTAAACTTTCCTGGCTGTCTCCCTGAGCTTCAAATTGTGCATCTCTGCCT